TGTTAATAACCGTGGATTCGCTCGTTTAATAACCCGATCTTTTTTAGGAAGATGTCGAGCGTGTATTGCTTCTGAAGGAAAAGAGTTTGAGCATTTACTGTAAAGGTAAATCATCATCAGCAGCATTTTGACACCCACTGTTTTGCAAACAGTTATCCTTAAGGGTCCTTGTGCGTTTTCATAATCGCTGTTTAATTACTAAATTTTGAAAAATTTTCATCAGTTTTTCTTGAAATAAAAATTGTGCATAAGTTAACGAGTAATCTTCTAAGTGTTATACCATTTTGGAATCCTTATTAAATGCGTCAACTTTTAAGGTTACTTGCCAAACTCTCGTAGTACATTTTTTTCCAGTACAGCCAGTTAAAGTTGAGCAAAGTTTTACTTTGGAATACCTGGTTGGGAAATAAGCGGCAATTTTTCCTGAACGAGAAAAGTTGGCAGTAAGGTTGAGACACCAGTTGGAAGATGCATTATTCATCATTACATTGTAAAAATAAAATCCAAAAAAAGTTAATATTTGTAGTAACAGGAGTTGACAGACTGCCGTAGGGTGTGAAATTTTTATATCTTTTTCAAAGACCTATGATTTTCAAAACACATACATAAAAATTTTTTAAATATTTTTCTGATAGCTGTTATGACTTTGCCTATTACCCGGTTTCGGCTTGACGTCGACTTCTGGGACACCCTGTATACAAAATAAACAGAAGTAGTCCAAGAACTGATCCTTGAGGTATGCCTGAGGAAACAGTAGAAAATTCTGAATCAACGACGACCTTTCGAGATCTATTTGTTCTGAACATTAATTTTTTTGAACATCAGGCAATTGGAACTTCTTGAAAGCTGTTTGCTCTATACGTATACTCGTAGAGCAATATGTTTGATAAGGCAATATTGGACAAGCATGCTTTTATGGATCTAACATCTATTACAACGTGTCATATATAGGATAAGCCCGTTCTTCTCTTACTTGCCAATTTACTTTCCGACATAAAACGATGCAATAAAACGCTGATAGGCGATTTATTCTTGTTCAATTAGTTTTATAAAAGGCTTCCTGAGACTATTTGCTGCCGATTCGAACCATGCCTGTTGAAATGGAGAAAGGAACTGATTTAGATTCTTTGTTCGTTAGTCAGCTCGTGATCTAATAAAGCGACTCATCAAAATCTTACCTCGTTATGATAGCGAAAAGAGAAAAACATGAGTCTAGCTGTAACTGTTCCGTTTTTGATTCGTCCATATCAGAAAAATAGGTAGAAATGAAAATGAAGACGGTTTTCTCTTTAAATGGTGAATATGGAGCACCGTCGTCGTCTTGGAGCTTTCAACTGTCACTGATAGAACTAAAAATAAACTATACCGTGAAATTAATAAATGGATAATGGAAAATTAAGTGAGAGGGTCTTTTGACAGTCACTGTACATGTATAAGAGTGAGGATCATGAAACGGCACCTCCCTTTAATTCTTCAATGGCGCATTCTCCTCCTTCGTAACGGGTGATTTTTTAAGAGGTATAGGATTATTGTTATTATTATCATGATAATTGAGATGAGCAAAGTACACAGTACTATAAGCTCATGCAGTAAATATAGTGTACGGACACGTAACACAAATACATCAAATAGAAAAAATAAAAAAAGTCAGTTCATAGCTATAAAGTTTGTACACTCCTCCAGCTATCATACTGCACTTTGAAGCTATTAACTGAAGTAGCACCAACCACACTTTCAGGTAAACTATTCCAGGTGTTGAATATGCGGTTGGGAATAAACCACTATCGGACTGTTGTTTTAAATGGCTCCTTATGCAGTTTGAAGCTGTGTCCGCGTAGATTGCTGCGCGACAGACGGTATAGATGCATGAGGTTGGTGCCCATCAAACCATGAAGTATCCTGGACGTAACTATAAGATCGCCACGAAGTCTTCGCTCAGAAAGTGAGGTCAGGTTGAATAATTAAAGGCGATCTTCATAGCTTGGTCTTCGTGCTCCAAAAGGGATACGAGTAGCCCGACGCTGTACTGATTCGACGAGATTTCTATCGCGCAGAAGCACAGTGTCCCATACCGGGCCAGCGAATTCAAGAATTGGCCTCACGAATGTCTTGTAAATGTAGGCGCAAGTGTTGACATCGGATCCTTTGAAAGACCTCTCCAGCATGTATAGAAGTTTCTTGGCTTTTGATGTAACGTGGTGAATATGCTCTGACCAGGAAAGACGATCGTTGACTACAACGCCCAGATCAGTGTGGCTGGAAACTGCTTCGATGTTGTGGTCAGAGATCTTGTATGTAAATCGCGGATTTGTCTTACCGAGGTGAAGGACACAACACTTAGTTAGATTTAAGGGTAAAAGCCAACTGACTGACCATTGAAAAACAATATTAAGATCTCGTTGAAGCATAGCAGAATTTACGACAGTATTGTAAATCTTGGTGTCGTCGGCATAAGCTGAACAGGTGGAGGAAATCAATGCGGGCAGGTCACTTGTATACAGAAGGAACAGCACTGGCCCCAAGACAGAGCCTTGAGGAACTCCACTTGCTACATGATGAAGGTGAGACTGGCTATCACTGACGCGCACAGAGAAAGTCCTCCCGGTGAGAAAAGCCTTAGTCCACAGTAACAACTCGCCTCTTATTCCCATACATTGCAACTTAAACAGAAGCCTTCTACGTGGTACGCGATCGAAAGCCCTAGAGAAATCTAAGTAGATTATATCAACAGGAGTCTTTGTGTCCAGATACTGAGTCCAATCGTTGAGAGAGTGGAGAAGGTTGGTCATTATTGATCGATCAGGGAGAAATCCATGCTGATTCTTAGGGATAAGGTCATTTTCGAAAGCAAATGACAGGAGCTTATCTAATATGATTCTTTCAGCTATTTTGGCGGCGATAGGAACGAGACTTATTGGTCGATAATTTTTAGCGGAGGATTTGTCGCCCTTTTTGAATACAGGGGTAACAGAAGCACTAAGCCAGCATGAGGGTAGGGTATGAGATCTAGAAGACGATGTGAATATCAAGCTTAATGGTAGGACCAGTGCTGAAGCGCAGTTTTTAAGTACAGCAGCCGTCATCCCATCTTTACCAGGGGAGGAAGAGGTCTTCAGATTTCGCAGGTGCATTAATACATCTTCAAGCAGGAACTCAACTTCGCAAAGGTCGTTGGGACACCTATGGCAGATAGTGGTCGGTAGAAGGTCTCCATTAGGCTCATCGACGAAGTCATCACTAAAGGAGTAAGTTGGCAGATTCGGTGGCATCCATGTGGAGATGACCGTCAGCGTCGCGGATCTGAGGTGATGAAACTTTGGAATTCAGGTTTGTTCTTAGATACCGAAACAGCTTCGTCTTATTTTTGGAGGTAACGAGTTTTCGTTCGTAAGCATGTTTGGCATTATATAACGTTCTAGATAGGGGGTTAGAAAAGGATCGATGAGACACGTAATCTTGTGAATGGCCACTCCTCCTAAACCGTTGCCACGAAGATCTCTTATGACGAAGCATCCTCGATATGTTAGAGTTGATCCAGGGCTTTGAGGGGTCACAGTATACCTTCTTTTCAACAGTATTGTCAGCCGTTTCGCTTAGGACTCGTTGAGCGAAAGTGTCCCACATATCTTGGGTGCTACGGTTGTTAAGCAAAGCAGGCCAGTTGACTTCAGACAGGGCTTGGTTAAGAGCATCGTGGTTTACAATTTTGATGGTTTTAAACTTATCGGTTGTAGAACGACTATTTATATTGAACTGGAGAGAAGATAAAAGTGAACAGTGGTCAGACTTGCCAAAAGGTGGCAAATAATCTAAATTAGAAACAAAGTCGGCGTCGTTAACGAATATCAAATCCAGAGTCCTAGGCGTCTGTCCTTCCCTGAATCTCGTTGGACGATCAACAAGTTGAGATATGCTAGAGTTGCGTAGCAAGTCGATGTAAGCAGCAGAAGAAGAATTGCATTCAGGAATGGTTGACATAGGCCAGCTAATGTCACGTAGATTGAAGTCACCAGCTATGAAAAGGTTGGTGTTTTTATTTAAGAGATCTGAAATGAGACTGCACAGGTGTGTGTCTCCCAAACAGGGCCGTGGCCGATATATGCAGCCTATCGTGAAGCTGAAATTTGGGCACCTCAATTCCAAAAATAGATTCTCAATGCCATCGAAAGGACTGAAAGAGGGAGATACCGAGAAAGCCGACGCGATTTCCGTGCGAACATAAATGCATACTCCACCAAAACCAGGAGTGCGTGGTGAATCCATTCTGTATAAATAGTATCCAGGCAAATTGATGGAAGAGTCGGACACGTTGGAATGGAGCCATGTTTCAGTAAGGCAAACGAACGTTGGATTATTGTCTCGAACAAATGCTTGGAGTTCAAGTAGCTTAGAAAAGAGAGATTGTATATTAGTGTAACAAACCGTCCAGTTTGCCACAGAATTTATAAGTTTTTTGAAGGTGTGATCTCCTGGGTAGCTGTGTGTTCTATAGAAGGTTTACCACGAACGTATTTTATAGTAATATTACTTTCGCCTGTTGTTTGACGACGTCTAAGCTCTTCGCGAAGGTGTTGTAGTTCTTGCATTTGACCTCTGGTTTTGTTGTCAGAGATTTTTACGTGACGAAGCGTGGGGTGGCTAAGGATGGAGTTTTTCTTCCGCAAAATATTGCTGACGATAATAGGTGAGGAAAACACAACTCTAATTAAACGATTGCTTGAAGGTGTTCTGCCAAGGCGAGTGATGCTGAGTCGGTGATTTTCGGCAGATGGTTCAATATGCCTAATTATCTCTGATACTATGTTTATGTCATCGTTCCCTTCAGCTATGCCCCTCAGAATGATATTGTGGGAACGTCTAAATAACTCCATTGTCTCAGCTTGGGAGCTTGGGGCAATAGGGGTAGAAGAAGCGCCGTTGCCTGAGTGCATCGTCTCCATAGATCTTGCAAGTCTCGATTCAATATTAGCAATGTTAGAAGACAGCTCTGTTTAAGTAACCTGGATATTTTGTATGTTGGTTTCGCAGTCCGCTATTAAGTCTTCATGCCGAGAGATCGAGTCCGAATGTTGCTGTAGCGAGTTTCTACAATAAGCAACATCAGTTCTGAGTTGAGATTGAGAGTTCTTAATATCCTTTATGTCACAGGCCTTAGTTGATAATTGGTTAAGTATAAGGGTGAGAGTGTCGGTAGAGGCAGACTGATCTGGTTGTAAAGGAGCAGTGGTTTCTGAACGAGCACCGCATGTGGAAGAGGTGGATCCGCTTCGGGTAACTCGTCCCTGTTTACAACAGGCTGGGCAAGACCATCGTTCTTTTCCGTCCGTCAGAAAGTTGATCTCATTGACGGTTAAGTTGACACAGCTCGAGTGATAAACTTTTTGACATTTAAAGCAAGAAATGTTAGCATGGGAGGTAGCAATACTCCTGCTACAAGTTGCGCATATCACTGGCATTGTGAGTGCAAAAAAAAACGTAAATATATACAGGGTGTTCCATAATTATTGCGACAAAATGATAGGGGTTGTAGAGGGCATCAAAATGAACAATTTTTCCTTATAAACCCCTGTTCGGAAACATGCCGTTTGGGCTGCAGCAAAAAAAAAGATCAGTTTCTTGAAACAGCTTACCTACAGTAATTGCTCAAAGTGTCCTCCACCTTGCTCAATACACACCTGTGCACGATTGTTCAATGATCGGCGAACTCTGTGGCATACCCCCGGTATGTCCTGAACATGTGCGGACGCGGCCATCACTCTTCCCAGTAGCTCTTGTTGGTTGGGAACAGGAGTTTCGTACACTAAAGCTTTCAGATAGCTCCAGATAAAATAATCCAGTGGAGTCAGGTCAAGTGACCGCGCAGGCCAAGGCACAGGGCCACCTCGGCCTATCCACCTATTTGGAAATTTGTCGTCCAAATACTGCCGCACTTGTAAAGAAAAGTGGGCTGGACCGCCATGGTGTTGAAACCACATGTTGGCTCTTATATTCAGTGGCACATTTTCTAATAGTTCCGGTAGCACATGCTGTAAGGATCGACCATAAGCATGCCCATCCAAACGTGGTGGAAGCAGATATGGCCCGATGATATGCTCGTCCACAATGCCGCACCAGATGTTAATTGAAAACTGATGTTGGTCTCTATGGATGGCTATGGCATGAGGGTTTTCTTCATCCCAAATGTGACTGTTACGGCTATTAAAATAACCGTCCTTTGTAAAACAGGACTCGTCAGTGAACAAAACGTAGCGACCAAAGTTTGGTTGCCTCAACTCCTGCTGCAGCCACCAACGACAAAAAGCGTCGACGCGGCAGATAGTCTGCTGGACCCATGGCTTGGACTTTTAAAAGGTGGTACGGGTGTACGATAACAAAAATGTAAACACAGCAGGCTTTTTCTACAAACCGGCGAGACCATGAAATGTGCTAGACGAACATTTTGCAGCTGGTGAATTTTTTGTTTCTCCTATGAGCTCTTAAGGTAAAATTAACTGTAGTGCTCAAACGGCATATTTACGAACAGGGGTTTATAAGGCAAAATTGCATATTTTTATGCCCTCTACAACCCCTATCATTTTGTCGCAATAATTATGGAACACCCTGTATAATGGTGAGGAAAGGATATGGGAAAACACGCTTCACTCTATTGGGTCGGTAATAGAGACTTAAAACAGATAGGTAGACCACGGAGAGGAAGAAGGAGAGAAAGAGAGAAAGGATAGAATCCGCGGCGCAAAACAAATGTCGAAGACGAACGAGATATCGCACAGTCGACTCACAATAGCTGTTAGAAAAATTTGAGGACGACGAACGGGACGCACGGCGTGTGGCAGAATAATATGTTTGTGATAGCCAGGTGAGAAGAAAAAAGAAAAAAAAGAAAAAAGTGAACGTCAGCACAGGTCTGGTGTTGATTACGCTCTGGTGTACGGCTGATCACAATAGAAATACATAAATAAACTGATATCGCCTAGAATATACTGATTAAATCTCAAATAGCGTACTCACAAAGGATTCCTGGTACTTAGGTATCACTCACGACAAAAATTGATAGTGATATATAGGATCTATATAGCGTGACATCAAATTACACAGAGAGAACGGTCGATATAATTTAATGCTTAAAGATTATTTCATGTAAATGTTGGCCGCGGCTCCGCTTTAGATGGCCCATGCGCAAGGTCCAATTTTGGCACACTCTCTCCAACATATCGGCCGGTATCTCACGAATAAGTGCTTCAATATTGGCTTCCAGTGCGTCAGTCGTTGCTGGTTTATCCCTGTAGACATTAGCCTTAACATGGCCCCACAAGAAATAGTCCAACGGCGTTAAATCATACGATCTAGGCGGCCAATTGACGGCCCCAAACGTGAGATAAACTGTTCACCGAACTCGCCTCTCAATAGGGCCATTGTTTCGTGTGCGGTGTGGCATGTGGCACCGTTTTGTTGAAGCCACATGTCAGACAAGTCTAGCTCTTCCATTTTGGGCAAAAAAAAGTTTGTTATCATCGCACGGTAGCGCTCGCCATTCACAGTTACGTTCCGGCCATTGTCGCCTTTGAAGATGTACGGCCCGATGATGCCACCGGCCCATAATCCACACCAAACAGTGATTTTTTCGGGATGCCTTGGTAGCTCTTGCAATGCTTCTGGCTGGTCTTCACTCCAGATGCGGCAATTTTGCTTGTTAACGTACCCATTCAACCAGAAATGAGCATCGTCGCTGAACACAATTTTTCGATAAAAATGTGGATCTTCCTCCAACTTTGCCAGCACCCATTCACCAAATTGGAAACGTCGTGGGAGGTCGTGTGGCTTCAATTCTTGCACCAGCTGTATCTTATATGGTTTTACACCCAAATCCTAACGCAAAATTTTTTTCACGTAGTGGAGTAACAGAGCCCCAATTGCTGCGAACGGCGGCGAATCGACATTTCACGGTCATCACTAACACTGGCGGATACAGCCGCAATATTTTCTTCAGTCCTCACTTTACGTCTGCGTGTTGGTAGTTTAATGTCCAATAATGTAAACTGGGTTCGAAATTTAGTCACAAGCTTCCGAATAGCTCCCTCAATAGGCCGACCAAATTGCCCATAAATTGGAAGCAGTGCTCGATGCACTCTCTTAACCGAGCATGAATTTTGATAGTAAAATTCAATAATTTGCAAGCGTTGCTCGTTCGTCAGTCGATTCATGGTTAAATTATAGACCAAACTGAGCACGTTTGACAATGACACAAGACACGATTCACGCGTCATCTGTCAAAACAGTGTTGCCGAAAAGATACTAGCAAAAAATCACCCTATATAATGTATTTTTGTGTTGCAGGCGTTATGTGAAAGTACTGACCACTGCGCATCTAAGCAATGTACCTTTAAAACAGTCAAATGTATAGAAATGCAGCGAACACTCGCTAGTGTAGTTGTCGCTGTCCAGTGTGTCATAAAATCCGGGATTCTTTTGTTCTCATTGCAGCCCCATCTGCCTGATGCTGGGCCGCCTCAGCCTGAAAGCCGGGATTTTAACGTCATGCCAAAAAAATAAGCGCTGCATTCAGTCCGCGATTAGCGCCATTTTTAATTATTTTCCCATTGAAGTTAATTTTTGTTCTAAAGCATTCACCTCACGATATTGGAGTCAAATCTATCTCTATGAGGAAGACACGAACGGCTGGATTTTTTTATACGAGATGACTTTTCATCTAAATTGAATAAAGTTGAAAAAAAATCACGCCCTAAATTTCTGTTTTACGCAGAAATATACTTATGCATCAATTCCATCACCTTGAATTTCAGCTTGTTAACGTGACACGTTCAAAAAGTGTGGGAGGGATCTTTTTGAAATGTCCGGTATATGATGACACAGTGGTTAAGAGGGTACCATTTCCGCGAAAATAGTGACCAAACATAAATATTATAGTTCCCTCGACTTTTTCTGCTAAAGTACTTCTTTAAACCCAAAATTACCTGTTTTCAACAATTTCGTTTTTCTCGCATTAATTCATCTCACATTTATTAAACTTCAAAGCAAAAAAATCTTTTATCTATTTTCATCATAAATTTTGTTAAAATTTAGGCGTGCCCTATGACGTTACTGTAATCATAGAAGGCTGTGAGCCATTAAGTTCAATATAGTTGGCGTTTGGAAAAACAACGGAATTTGAAAGGAATGAAGTCTGAGCATTTTTTTCAGAAGTTTGACACTAGTGGGTTACGGTAAAAAAAGTGCAGGTATTTCCATATTTTGAAAACAAGTTTAAATGTGCGTGATACCTCAATGCATAAAAAAAACTAGCTGCAAATATTTGCAACTTTTGTAGACAAATTTTTAGAGTTCAGTGCGCGACAGAAAAAAAGCAAAGCGAAAAATATAGACATATTTAACGAGTGGTATTTGAACAGAACCAAAAACAGAGTTGAAGAGTTCAAAACGCTTAAGTTATATTTTTTACAACACGAAAACCTTAATGTAGAAACATTAGACGACCATTTGTCGAATTTTATAAAAAAATGTGGAAATTAAATGTAAACCTTGTCATAGAGATAAGAAGCTTTTTATAAAGAAAAATGAGGCTTTGTTGAATTAAGAATTTCCACCTTCCAAGGAAACCATTGTTACTTCAGAGCAAGAACCAACAAGAACTTTTGTAAGGCCAGTGAAGAATTTTCAGAGCCTTGGTAGAAGGGGTAAACAATTGAGGATTCGTTCATTAGTTTCTAGCCATTCAACAAGCGAAATAGATAGATCTATCACATACTTAGTTTTTGTAAAGTTCTGAGCATTTTGATGTAAGGTCCTCGCAACCTGCATTGGTGCAGAAATTTGCGAATTTCTCGAAAACTGCTCACCATACCCTACTGTAACAGGAGTACCTTTTTCGCTTAAAAGTTTCTAAGAAATTGTTTTTTCTTTTAAACAAAAAAAAAGTAAAAAAGCACACTGAAAAAAGTCCAAATTTGGGTTTTGCATCCCAAAAAAACCCTGGATACCAATTTTACCAAGTATTACGTCAAGAAATTTTCATGAATTAAAAAAAATGATTTTTATTTTCTAACTTTACCACCCTGTATCTCGGAATCGGAGCAATTTAGGACTAAGGTCAAATCGGCTTATTTTGAACTCAAGAATATGTGCTTATATTTTGCAAAGACCTTCTAGGGATAGTGCCGCCATCTTCAATTTTTGACATGTCAATTTTTTATACAATTTGTATAGAATTTCTTTAGCTTTCTAAGGAGGTATGGTTCATAAAAATCGGTTTACCAGCAACAAAAAGAAATGTTGATTATTTTTTCGCGGAAATGGTGCCCTCTGAACCACTGTGCGCCGCTTAAATTAGTTTCAGGGCCTATGACTTT